CACCCCAGTTGGGTGCTTATCAAACAAGAGGGCTTTGATGCCAAGCACAATGAACTAGAAACACACACACACACACACACACACACACACACACACACACACACACACACACACACACACACACAAATCAATATTTAATCAAGTTACATACTTCCGTTTAAATACTCTATACAAGTAATTCCTTTATTTTTCACTGAGTAAACAGCAACTTGCGCACCAACATGGCCCCCAGGAGGTACCGATGGAGGCAGATGGTGAACCTCAACTGCTGCCCTAATTGTGTGTGATTAAGTGTGTGTATAGTAAAATAATATGAATTTTAACTAGTTGATAACACTATGTAAATGCATTATCTTCCATGTTCTCATTATCCACTTGTCTCTAATGTTGCCTGAGAACTAAAAGATTTAGCTCAGTTAAAGGTGATTGACTCTGATTCGCATGCGAAAGAAAACACTGGCCAGGTAGGTTGACCTTTGTTTGATAAAGCGACATCTAAATGATTTTAATGACATCTGAAACTGCAAACTGAACCTAGACATGGAGAGTGATTTGTACAACTGGCTGTAAATTCTAAAAAGTTATTACAATACATTTTTACAGCCCTTGAGTTAAAATTGAATGTCTACACTTCACTGATTACAGAGGCAACATTACTGATTTTGTGCCTGTCCACATTCTTATGGTCCTCACTTTATGTTGTCAGTACTATGTTCCTGCATGAGAGGAGGAGTCAGATGTGATTTAACAAAACAGCCCCAAAAAGCTGTAGGGGTCTGGGAAGGAAATGCTGTTTGGTTTGATGGTCACACAAAGTTTCTGAAATAAATAAAACACTAATTAAACATTAGCTTTCTTACCATTGCTCCTGACCAATATGGGAAGCTAGAGAAACCAAGATAGTTTAGACTAGTACATGAAAAGATAACGCCGAGTCCAATACTGAGCAGCCCAATCCTAACCTGCAGAACCTGTGAAACAGGAAGTAAGATAACTGTTTATTGTCATTGCACAGTCATACATGGCACAATAGTACAATGAGCACTACTATTAGTAAACGTACAGAATGAACAGCATACTTCTTATGGCATGTCATTTTCTTATGTTTCCATGCTGTTTGTTAAGGTGGACCTATTACTTCCATCTTTGTTGGGACACTACTAGGGTAGCGTTGCAGGAGTCATGGTTCAGGCTAAAAAATGTTTATCTTATTGGCCTTTATTCAGTCCTTTGGTTAATCTGCTGTATAAAACAAACCATTTTAGCTCCCTTTAAGCTAGAATAAAGACCTGCAGGTAACTGCAGTTTCTGTGCTTACAGCCAGTATGTATGAAATGACCATATAAGTGATATCTATTAGAGACCAAAACAAAAAAAGCATAACATTAAATCACTCAAAGTTTTAAAAGTAAAAACAATAATTTGACTGTTTGAGGTTTTCTCACCCCCGACACTGTCTCAGAAGCTCTCTGGGCCCCCTCAGGTGCTTGGACACAGCGGAGAACAATGGCCTGTAGCAAGGGCTCTTGAGGATCTGGAACAGAGGACGGCAGGGACTTTGGGAGTTGGAGGTAAAAGTAAACATAGTGATCCCAGCAGCTTTGGGCGCAGACATCTTGCATAGAGATCCTGGAGACTGAAACTGAAAGACAGTGATAATCATTTGAATTTGAAAGTCAGCACAGCACAAACTTTAACTTTCTGTCCTTTCCTGTTTTACTCTGATCATCTTGTGTCCTGTGTTCAGTGTTTTGAGGTTTGCTTCCCCTTTGTCTCATTATGTCTGTGCTCTCCTCCTGTGTCTCATTCCCTCGTCATCCCTCTGTGTATTTAAGCCCCGTGTCTTCGTCTGTTTATCGCTGATCCATCTGCTTATTACCAACTGCATGTCCCATGTCTCAGGTTTTTATTTTCTTGGTTGTTGTTTTTTCAGGTTTCTCCCAGTTTAGGTTTGGCTTGTTTGGTCTCTGTCCCCTTTTGCTTTTGTTTGTATTCTGCTCCGCCGTAATAAAGGCTCACTCTCAGTTCCAGTCCATCTTCAGTGCTTGCATTCGGCTGCAATCTGCTCTCCATGCCTCTGCCACAGCGGACGTGACAACTTTTGGCAATAAAGTGTAGATTTTGATTCGCTGCGTCACTTTACAAACAAAAATCTACTAAATTAGAATTAAGATTTTCAGTTATTGGTCAAAGTGCAGACTCCTTTAGATATAAAGAACAACAAGAAGGGATGTGTGTAATTTAGATTGCCTGCTATTTAATTGATTTGCATTGTAACCCAAAGTAAATATGAACACTTAGCTGTTAAAGTAGAAACAAAACAGAAACACAGTGAGGAAGGAGCTTTACAGGCCAAACCTGTTACCTGAAGTTTCCTCCTCTGTGGGAGTCATACAGAAACTTTATCAAGTTCAACTGAACATTCAGCTAAACTCAAAGAAAAGTAAACATAATAAATATCATGGCATAATGCATTTAGTCTTTATTTTTTACTAGTTTTTATTCGTTTTACAATACTTTTAATTATAAAATGGGCATATTTGGTGTGAGATTAGATGACAGCTTAGAGGCTAAAGTGCAAGATTCCTTTTGACAACTATCAGTATTTGAAAACTATAATCTCCGTATTAAATGTCACATAATAACTTTAAAAATATTTTAGTGCCCCATTAAATTTAGGCTGCTGAAAAGAAAAACAGCAGCGCTCTCTGGTGGAAAGAAATATTACAGTTTTATTCAACTCAAAAAAAGTTGAATACATTGATTGATTGATTGATATTGATTATTCATAAATGTGTTTGAACTCAGTCTGATTAAACACACAATACTCTGTTATTGTTGAACTTTTCAGGCTGATACCTTGAATTTATGCAGCAACATCCTCTGCCAGATATTTCCTGTTAATTATGAGAGCTGCACAATGAAAATACATGTTGGGCCATTGTTTTATAAAAGAAAAAGATGGTTCACCTCATCAATATTTTCATTCTGTCTCGATTGAAGATCTCGCTTCAGGTTATGCTACAGAATCTCAGCTGGGTTGTGGTAACCTAATTACACATCCCCTCCCAGGACCATGTCAGGGACACAGCACTGACAGTGTCTACTTTCTACCTCGTTTCTTCTCTGCTGGAGAGCTTTGATTTCCAAAAATTAAGAGCTTACGGTAACACCCGTCACCAGATCTGAATCAGACACTCAATCTGTTCTATGCATGTGTATAAAACGACCTTCTCTTGTTCTTTTATTTCACACTGATATGAAGGACAGCGTGACCTGCACTCAGGCAGGAGTGGAGTGAACTCTGCTCAGTTGCTGATCAGAACCTAAATAAAATATCTCTGAGAAATTTAAAGCAGATTTGAGCATTTAGGTAGAATTTTTTCTTTGGTTTTATTAGCTGTGATAAATGTAACTGTTTCTGCTTCCTAGACGATGTTTATAAGGTTTTGTTATTTTTATGAACGTCTATAATAAAATAAAAGACTACATTAGTTTCCCTTTCGTATATGAAGATAACTTTGCATGAAGTTTCATGAAGAACCCCCCACCCCCCCAAAAAAAAAAATTACAATTAAAATGTTCAAAAAAAAAAAGAAAAAAATTATGAAACTAATTTATGTAATGGATGTATGTTGTACAGTTGATTGAAAAACTCACACTGAACACTTTAGTAATATTTTTGTTTAATTTCCAATTATCAAAATAATTTGCAACTTTAATTCAAGCTTTTCCTTTTCCTCATCGTGTTCCTTTCGTTCACTCAAACACTAAATTAAAAGGAAAATATGTCATTTACGTCAGCTTAAGCTGCTTAAGCTGACCCAAGAGGGTCATTAGGAGGCACTTACAGAGGTAGAGTACGATGCTGAACCCCAAAAATTCCCTACTGTATCAAAAGTTTGTATTTTTGTGTCATTGTTAAAGGACTGTATGTTTATGGTAAAAGCGCTTCTGAAATTCTTTTTAATAATATCCCCAATTAAGTGTTAGCTTGCTTACTAATGATCCTGACCAAAATGTGAAGCCTGTGCAACCAATTTGCCACTAAAACCCTGATTCGGCACATGAGTGGATAACTCCAAGTCCAATACTGAGAAGCCCAACCATAATCTGCAGAGGGAGCACTAAATGAACAACAAACAGTACTTTATTCTACACCTTGTTCTCCTATGCTTTTAAAGAAGAGCGATTAAGCTCACTTCCAACTTCTTTTTAGTTTGGGGACTCTGCAAAGTAAGTTCATTTATCTTATGAACCTTTGTGCAGCCCCTCAGTTGATTCAGGCAGAAAATCTACAAATTTGCACTTTGAGCTGGTGTAAAGATTTAAACAGTAGGTGTGTGGGGCTTATATATATATATATATATATATATAACAATAAACTGCCAATCCCTATCTCCATCTTTCCCAGTAAGGAGCCCAGTCAGCAGAGGGTGAAGAAGTGGGGCTTCTCTTTGGAGGACGCCTTGAAAGATCCAGCAGGGCAGGAGCTTTTCCTCAAGTTTCTAGAATCAGAGTTTAGCTCAGAGAATCTCAGGTGAGCAAAATATATTTCAGTCATCATTGTTGTATGTTGAAGTGATATTTTCCTGCTCTTTTTAACCATGCTGTACTGAACTCAATTAATGAAGAA